GCAAATAAGGCCATATTTCGATTCCGAATGAATCATCATCAGTGCTTTCTGCTGTTTATATAGGGAAATATTAATATATATATATAGGTTTAGATTATCATAAATACAATTATTTATAAAGATCACTGCATTTTCGGCATTAATCAACTTGTAGTTGAGTTTCTCAATTTTTATAACGAGACTTTTATCATCTTGGTGAAGTTTAAGATAGGAGAATCAATTTTCCAATACTTTGGATAAGGATGCGAACGACATATCGATATTTTTAAACATTTATCGTTCATAAAATATCGATGTTAACATCAAAAATTTTACGAAATATATATCAATATTCGAACTCAAATCTTTTCAGTAATAAAATTTTTACCGCTGAACGGTGACGGATCTAGAAAACGTTGACGCATGGGTCAAAATTTAAAATATTTTGAAATTTGACGAGAGCCAAAGAAATTAACCAGCATGGTCAAAGTTTGGCTAGCGACCTTTTTGCTTTTCACGCCAATTTTTGGTGGATTTTTTTACTTAACAACGGTGTTTTCCTGTCTACAAAACTGAGTTTTACTGACTTTTAATCAAAACTCTGATCATGACCCATAGATCCGTCACTGTCGTTGAACAAAAATATCACGAAAATCAACGTGTTACGAACCACTTTGATGTTTTTGAGAACGATGTTCCATTCCTAGGGGGACTTTGTCCACTTGTAGTTCCGTCAACACATGTACCTTTATCACTTGCCTGTAACATTATACCAGTAAATATAACTTGAATGCTTTTTATGAAAATTGTTTCATGATTATATGTGATATAAACAGCGGACCCAGTAAAAAAATTGTCGCAATAGCCTTGTGCAAACTGACGTAGCTAAACTGGTTTGGTTTATACACTAGCTTGTTGAATTAATACGGTTTTTGCCTTTGTTGAATTAAATTATTAATTTGCTTAATTAAAATTAAATCGATGTAAGTAAATTTTCGCAAAATTTATGGAACTATTAAATTGATTAGTTCAATTATTATAATGTGACTATTATTTTCATTTTATTTCATTCAAAATGGTGGTTAGGTTTTTTCAGTTTAAATAGCTGATGTTATGAATTTTGAATGCATTAAAAACAGGCTGAAAAAAGGTTTAACAGATCGATTGGAATTAACGGAAGAATCGAATGGTCTATGCTGTGACAGCAATAAAAGACCATCGATTTCATTTGATTACGGTTGTTTGTTATACCATGACACAAACAAGGATTTCGTTACAAACTATGATATCCCTTCGGGTTTAAATAACGGTTTGTTACATTTTGATAGTGTAATTTTAAAATATATGATGAATCTTTCTATTACTTGGACACGCTTTATATTCCTATTGGGCATACTTTTTAATGGGATAGGATAAAGTCACAAGCGTCATGACCTAAATTAAATATGTACACAAAAAAAGAATGAATTAAACATTGTTTGATAATGTGATACACTAACTGGCTTATTTCATTATTGCATAACAGAATTATCTGTTCATAATTCTAATGCAGCACATTCTTTGAAAGCCGTTTTCTTATTTATTTATATTATTATTATTAGTGTACATAATTTTGTTTAAAACACTTTCAGTTATTCCCAATGATTATAAAACTAGACTTCGCACCATTGCTCAGCCTGTGGGAACAATAAAATACGTGGTATGTATGTATGATTTTATTGTCTTATAAATACTTTCATCCATTGCTTGTAAAAAATATATTTAAAAAATTTTTTTTAATACTTTAAACATGCAACAAAAGTTCATTATTTAAGAAGACTTAGTTTTTATTTTTTATAGCAAAGTTTGATGGCACATAATAATTTATTTAAAAAAAAATAGTTTAAAACATTTTATGATATTTGAAATTTTCAATTTTTAAATGTTTATTTTTGTGTTAGGTGTAAAATAACATTTTATTAACGAAAAGAAATACATATATTTTTGTTCAGATGAGTTGTGATGAATCGAACACTATATACATATGCAATGCATACATATTGTTATATGTACAGATCGTTATCAATGATATGAGCCTTGCAAATCAATATCAATCAATATAGGAACGGTCTTTCAAAGTGTTTTGCAGGTCTAAATGTATATTTTTGTCAAAAGCTCTTGTACATTATACTTGAATAGTTTTCAAATACAAGCACAGATTACAATCACAAATACGAGTGCAAGTGCAAGTACCCGGGTCTCTGGTACAAATAATTAAATTTGGTACACGAATACGAATACTCAGAGGGGTCATTTCAGAGTTCGTTGATCCATGACAGGGCATGTAAACTATATATTATTAATAATGACAATGATTATTAGGGACAATGTATATAGCGCTCATTCATTGTTCTCATAGGCGCTTTCAAAAAATAAAACTTAATATATACGTGGCAAAATAAATAAGTACAATATCAAATTCAATGCACCTTTAACGAAAATAAAAATGTTTTTAAATATTTTTTTAAATGATTCAAGATTAAGCCCAGGTTTTCTGAGTAATGCAGGGAAATTGTTCCAAATAGTAGGACCGGCAATTGCAATATCACGTGAACTAAACTGTAAACACGCCACTGGCACCCCTACGAAATTCATTTCATCTGACCGAAGGCAGAAACTAGATGCCATCCCTTTTTTGGTAAATTTGTTAGTTTAGTAATCTGGTGACATTCCGTTTAAAGCTTTGAACATGATCACACCAATTTTAAAGATTATCCTTTTATCAATTGTCAACCAGTTTAGATCTCTATTTTGAACTGATTGCAGAATAGCAATCGATTTATCAGTTATTTTATACAACAGGCTGTTGCAGTAATCCAACCGAGATGTAACAAATGAATGCACCAAATTTTCCAAGGTTGATCAAGCCAACCAGAGCTTAGTTCTATATAAACTCCAAAGACAAAAGATGCATGAGACTGATATCATCAAAAATCTAATATCAAGCAAAACTCCCAAATTGGTAGCTGCCTGAATAATCGGTATGTTAACGTCATTTACTGTGATAGAATTTACACGTAATTTTACCAACTGCTGCCATGTGCAAACCGGAAGCAGCTGAGTCTTGCATTGATTGAGTTTTAATGAGCTACATGACATCCATTTTCCAACCTCCGTTAAGGATTTGGCAAATTTATCAACTTCAGACTGGAAAAACTTGGATGACCATTCACCAATATTTAAATGTTATCGCAAATGCGTGGCAGGCAAATCCATGAAAACTGATAATTTTAAGTACGCCTGATGTATATAATATGAACAGAATAGGTCTGAGAACGGACTCTTTAAGTACCTCTGATTTAACCATTTTGACATCACACAGTACACTATTGAACAAGCCTTATTCTGTTCGATCTGCTATAGGTATATGACTCAATTCATGCAAAAGCTGATCATTCAATTCATAATTGTACCGCAACATCTTCAAAAGTATACCATGGTTGACACAGTCAAATGCTGACAACAAATCCAGAAATGTCAGCAATGAAATGTTTGAATATCCATTGTTGAAAATAAGTTTGATAACACCTAAATAACGCTTTCTCAGAATCTGTCGGCATCAAACCATTTTCAGACAAATAGGCTAGCAGACCTTTCTTAACAACCAGCTCGACAATCTTTGATACGAACGAAAGATTTGATATTGGTCTATAATTTTTAACATAATTTACATCACAGTTTACTAACAAGAAATTTACCCACTTCCAAACAAAGGTTAGTAAAACTGGTGAGGAAGCGAATAAACAAATGTATTTTTTAAGGACATGCGTCGGTATGACATCAAGTGATATATATATAAGGTTTTTTGGTGTTTTTTAGTGTAATATTTTATTATAAATTTTTTTTGCAAAATTTGAAAAATCTGATTTCTTGGAAGAAACAATTGCCCCCTGCCCCTCTTCAAAAAATAACGCCCCTGCGAGTACTGCTTGGGTACAAGTATTTAGCACAAATAGCACGTCACTGGTAATGGTGTTTCATTTTGTTTTATCAAGTGTGATATTTTGACTTTTGTAACATTATATTTTTTGGTTTATCATCAAGTTTTTTTTGCACAATGTTGTCATCTATTGTGGCTTTCATCATCCTCGTAAGCGTGTCCCAGAACTGAACGTTTCCGAGTTCACAAAGATTGCTCATTTAGTGCAATTACGTCCATGGTTCAGTACAGACCAATATTGTTGACTGACAGATTCGTCTCCACTAAGCGGATCCTGGCTTGCTTTGGACGGCCATGTGGTCGAGTTTACCTACCGATTGCCTGGAACTGACAAGTGTAAAAACTTTAATTTGAGTTTTGAAGCAATTCCTAAAATAATAATACGTTAAAACTTAACAAAACAAAAAGCATGACATTTTTCCAAAATTATCAGAGTACATAATAAAATATATTAAGATGTACGTTGCAAATATAATGAAACAGAATAAAAAAATGTTTACAGTATCTTATGAAACAACAGACTATAAAATGATAATAAAGATCAAGAAAACAAAAAAGATTTTACGAAGTCAAGACAATTCCAAACCAAATGAAACAAAAGGCATTCAGACAACTATGAGGATTTTAAAATATTAATAGTTAGTTATTGCTGTTCCTTCTTCCAGAGTAAAGTTTACAGTTGGAAAAATACGAAAAGGCTATACCAATATAAAATATCATTTTTTAAGTTAATTGAGAAATTTCATTGACCAAATTAGGTAACCATGGTATTTTATACCATAAAATAGATGGGAAACTACCCAGTATCACGTTTTCGGTAATTATAGGATAGTGCAAAGGCCTCCAGGTCAACGTTCAAGTCAAGAAGTTTAGCTCAATTCCAATATTTAATTTAATGTTTCTGTGCAAAAAATGATAAAGATAATTGTGAAAATTGTAAAACTGAATGTCAAGAATAAATCACTTAATAAAAATAACAAATAAATGTTTTAGTTGATGTTTAACAAAGATACTCTTTTATTTCGATGGTAATTTGTTTAATAAATCGAATGCCCAAATTAGTCTGGAACCATCTGTCTGGCTGTGATAATTTTTTCAATGTCTTACTAAACGGTGGCTTATCGCTGTTTGGCTATTTTTCAATTCCGTTAAAAAGTATTTACAGTAATTGTAAAAGAAAAATTTAAATTATAAACTTGGGCATAAATGGATCAACTAAAAAAAATAAAGGAGTGCCTTCATGTTATAAATTAATATTATTTGGGTTAAAACATTGTGTCTGATGAAAAAATGAAAATAATAACCAAAAATAACAAGATTGGTATAAATAACGATAATTTTTACTTAGGTATCTAAGAGAGATACTCTAAGAGGCCTTGCGGCTCTGCATGAAACGACATCTTCTGAATTAAAAAAACTTAATAAACTGGTCACTGATACAATTTTTGAAGGACAAGTAAGTGCAATGTTTTAATTAATCTATTTTCGAAATTTTGTGTGCCTGTTTTAATTTATAAAATTGCGCATAATGTTTTATTATATGATATCTACAAAATTTTGATTGCAATATTAATTTTTTGTAATATTTTATTATTTTTTAACCTCATCTCACAAATTTGTGTATAATTGACACTAAAAACTTTACCGATAAGAAGTACAAAAATAAAACAAAAAAAATAAATAATTAAATAACATAAAATAAAATAGAACGAATAAAATAAAAATAAAATAATCTAAAATAAAGAAAAGAGCAAAAATAAAAATTCCGTGAACAAATCTATTGAAAACAATTAAATAGAAAGCATTCTAAACTTCTTTCTTTCTCGTGCCTTATCTTTTCAGGACCTCAACAAAACCCGATCTTTAACACTTTGTAAGAGTTGAAATGTGGTGATATTCAACAAGTGACACAAGGACTTCACGAATGTTATTCGTTGTTGATCGCTATCTCTTTTCCCTGCAATCTTTCCAGTAGTTGTTAGATTTTCCATTTTTTCCTTCCGCATGATGTGACCAAAAAACTTTAACTTTCCTCTTTTCATAACCGGACTGTTTTAATACATCCTCATTCGAAGTATGAGATGTCCAACTAATTTTCATAATTCTTCTCAAAAACCATATCTCAGCAGCGTTAATCTTTTTTCCATTTTTTAGAAGTTGTCCAGGACTCAGAGCCTTAAGTTAGCACAGGAAAAATGTAACACCCTAACAGTTTTAATTTTGTTGATATTCTAATTTTACTGTTGGTGAGGATATTTTTTATTTAATAATATGCATCTTTTGCCATAGCTATCCTTTTTTGATATCCAGATCACATTTACAACCAGAGGTAATAAGACTTTCGAGATAATTGAAGCTGTTGACTTGTTTCACCTGTTTACCATTAATAATTGTGGAGCAGATCGGGGCGGTTTTGCTTTTTACTTGTAACCATGCACTATGTTTTGTTAATGTTAATTTGCAAGCATTACCTTTCACTTTCAATTCAAAACTAGTTTGGAAACAATTGTTTTTCCATTAAATCTGCTATATGAGCTGTATCATCAGCATATCTTACATTGTTAATATTCACGCCTCCAATGGATATTTCAAGTAGATTTTCTACCTTTCTCATGATGATCTCACTATAGAGATTGTACAAGTCTGGAGTAAATATACAGCCTTGTCTAACACCTTTTTTATTTCGACAAAACTAATCATCTTGTTACCAACTTTCATCGCTACTCTTTCTTCCCAATAGAGGTTTTTGATGACTCTCATGTCTTTTTCATCAATGTCCAAATTTTTCAATATTTTCTTAAGCTCCACGTGTTTCACGCTATCAAAAGCTTTGGAGTAATCGACAAAACATGTAAACAAGTCTTTCTTCATTTCAATCGCTTGTCCACTGATCGTTCGTAGCATGAAGATAGCGTTTCTTGTGCCACAATCCTCTACAAAACCACATTGGACATTTGAAATTTCAGATCTGATTTTGCTTCGTGCTCTCATCATCAAAATTCTTAAGAGAAGTTTTGTAAAAATGACTCATCAAGCTGATTGTTCAATGTAGTTCACATTCTGTTGCATTAGGTTTTTAGACAATGCAATAAATATTGACTTGGATAGATCTTCAGGAATTTCGCCGCCGTTATAAATCCCATTTAGAATTTTTGTCACTTTTTCAATGCCAAATTTACCAAGGCATTTAATTTCTTCAACAACTATCACATTTGGACCTGGCGCTTTAATTGATTTCATTTCGGAAAGAGCGGCGCGAACTTCAGATCCAAGTATCTTTGGTCCATCTAGGTCTTTTTTAATCGGATTTAGCTTTTATGCATCCAGAAACGGTGCAAGCCCTTTTCCAGTGATTTTTTGATGGTTTTTACATTGCATTTGTATTGCTGTTTTTGATTTTTTCAATGATTTTGCACTTGTCATTTAACCATTTCTCCTTTGCTTCTAAGCACAATTTTTGATTGTTTTGTCCAGCTTTTTGTAACTATCAGGATTGTAACCTTTTACTTTCCTTCGTTCATCCATCAGAAACACGATGTCATCCGTTATCCAATTCTGACCTCTTTTTTGCTCATTTAGAGGTATAACTTCCTTTGCTGATTTTGTGAGGGCATCTCTAAATATTTGATCTTTAGATTTATTTACATCTCCCGTCAATAACCGAAAATGATTCCGTACTTCAACATTATACTTGACCGTGATCAGACTTGATTGTGACAGACTGACAAAATTCGAACGTTTTGGGTCCACTTCTCTCTTGATTTTCTTTAACTTTATCCTGATTTTACATACAACTGGGTTATAATCACTGCCAAAATTAGCTCCAGGGTAACTTTTGCATTGTAAAACAGCATTTAAAAAATTTTAAACTAGCAAATTGATTAATTGAATTCACGATGAAATTATAAGATAATGTACCAAACAAACAAAAAATCATTCACTCCAAGAAATCAATCTAAAATAAATTAAATAAACCATATAACAAACAAACAAACAATCAAACATTCAATCAACTAATCAATCAGCAAATAATAAAAAACAACCGAGTAATCAATCAAGCGCCAAATCAATGATATAACATATCAACAAATCAATCAATCTTAAATATAAATAAAAAAAATAACTAAAAATTTAAATAATAAGCCCAAAAAACAACAAAAATAATGAATCAATAAAACAAGTACATATACGTCAAGCAATCAATTAAACAATTATTGAAAAAAAAAAAACAATCAATTGCATTTAATAAAAAAAACAATAATACAAATAATCAGAAGTTAAACTCTATGAGCTTATATGCTTAATTTATTTTTCAGTTTGAAACCATTCCGACCAGAAGTTTTTTATACTCACTATATAAACCGAATATATTAAATTGATCAAAACTGCCTTCCACGAACATGATTATGAACACCAAATTTTTGCCAGTTTATTAGTTTTTGAATGTTACTGGTTGAATGATGTGAAAAAAATGCAAAAAATGAAGAAGTTTCATATTGTTTTATATACCTACCACATCAAAATTTTGTGAAAATTTAATATTTTCATTCAAATTTTTTTTTCAAAAATTCTCAGACACTTTTCATACCCTGTCAAACAATTGAAACTTCAGAGCTGGAGAAATCATCAGCAATTACATTAACAAATGTTGACACACCCATGGCAGCTATCCTGATAACCGACTGTGCAAAAAGTCTTTCTCCTTGTTCTATAAATATATCAAATGCTCTGGACGCAAATTTGGATGCAATGCTGACTGCACTCCCGTTAACACCCTCGTTATTTCCGACATCGCCACCATTGTTCCACGCACCGTCATCAGCCACGACGCTCGTTTCCGTACATTCAGCTTCATCGAACGGCACAACAGTTTCATCAATATCACCGTCACCATCTTGCTTAACACCAGCACCGACGCCGGAGGTTACAGCAGCAAATTCAACTAAACTCTCTTTCATTCATTTTGACGAAGGAAAATTTACGGAATTGGACTCTTTCTCATGCAAGGTTCTATAAATTGGATAGGTTTTTTAAATGTCGATTGAGTTATCACTAATTTTTATGTTTAATTTGTTTTAAAAATGTGTCGATAATTTTTTTTTAAATAATGAATTAGATAAAAAAAAGCGACAGTAGAATATTTATTTAAAAAAAACAGTATCAAATTTTTAACATATTTTATACTGAATTAAATTAGTGTAACAACATAAGAACGTTTAAGACATATCAAATGTTTAAAACACCAAAATTTAGGAATTTTTGCTTACTGGGATAAAACCAATCCTCACGGCGACAAAAAACATTCCCCGAGACAAAATGTTTTCAAGCATGACGTCAAATATTAACATCGATAGCAGCAATAATGATGACGTCACCAATGTTTTGGCATCTCAAGAAATTATCAAAATGCCCGTCAAGCATCATGTTACAGACACATACGTAAATATTGGAGCCGTTTTTTCAAATTAAAAATTGTTTACTGTTTATGAAATATCAAATAAAAAATCTTTTCTTCTGCAATGTTACGGCGTTTTAGCACTGACAGGCTATCTATACCTTCGTTCTTTGTTGTAAATCTTTTGAAAAGCGGAGAAATTAGATGTTGTTGAAAATGTTTATTTTTTTAATGTATGATATTATAGGATTACTATGTTTTCATTTTTAAAAATTGAGTGTATATCTTCTGGAATTTGGTATTTTTTCTTGCTTTCATTATATGTTTGACATTCTATTGATGTGTGTTGGATTGTTAGTTTTGCATTACATTTCTCAAAAAGTGGAGGTCTTGTTTTGTTTAATATCCATGAATGAATAAAGCAAAAATTCAAAAACACAGTTTATTTGATTTGCCATTTTGAGTCGATAAATGAAAATTTACGCCAAAATATTTCAAAACTTTTAAAAAAAGTTCAAACTACTTCTTTCAAAATATGATGTAGCTTCTTATTGAAAATGGTTAAGAACAGGAAAAAGTAATTCACTTATTTTCTAAATAATTTTTATATTTGAAGCAGAAAATTTCGACCATTGTTGATGGTCTGTTGCTCTTGAGCCGAGAGTTTGTCATGTTTGATCCTGAAGCTACTGATCCTTACGTCACTCAAATTGGATTGGAAAAATCTAGCGTCATCATTCCTGTAGCTGATGTGGCTACTGTCGCCTTATCATGGTATTTTTTTATTCATTTGTTGACATTTTATGATGTTTTATGTTGCCTTCTTCAGTTTGAATTAGTTTTTGTAGCGTTATTGTGTTTCATCATAAACGTCTTTTTAATTTTTTTTTTACGTTTTTTTTAAATTTGCAGCTTAAAAAAAGACAATCACTGTAAAACAACACCTAACCACGCAACTGAAGCTGTAAAAAAGCTTGAAAAAAACGTAATAGAAAATGAGAAAAGTATAGAAGAAACCAATGTCTTTCCAATTTGTTTAAACTTTTATAACAATTTCGAAACCATAGATAAAAGACAATCACAAAGTTTTCAAGCGTCAAACATTTCAAATAAAAACGAACCAATATTCAATTTGTACACAAACATTAAAATAACCACTGATGGAAATGTGAACGATTTAGTTGAAGATGATACAACTCATTCTAGTAGACATCGAAAAAGAACCAAAAGCAGCGAGGACGCGTTCAAAGAAACCGGCGAAGAAATAAAAAACGTTGAAAAAATTTCTACGAACAAAAAAAGGGCTTCCAGTGTAAGAAACCGACCCTTGTCGTTTGTAGGAAATTTATTCCAACTTAGAAACAATGTGGTGCAATCATCAGCGGATTACATTGGTGATTCAATTATAGGAACAGCTGCAGCCAACTCTGAAAATAATCTATCGATAGCATCAACTTCCACAAAATTTGCCGCATCATCACTAGATAACATTAACAACGACATATCTAAAAATCTTATGGAAAAAACTTTAAGTTCAATATCATCTTATTCAAATTCTATTATTAATGACGTATCTAACCATCTTCTACATCCAGCATTATCTTCAACATTAAGTATATAATTTATTTTCAATTATAACTTGAATTTAGTTGCTGCTCTGATCAAAATTGATAATTTTTCTGTTCTTTAAACAATTACCGATATCAATATTTTTGCAGAGTTCATAAATTTCTAACTGCTTCTTTAATGAAAATTTATAACTTTCTCTGTTTTTTAGAACATTTTCAAATATGTCTACCGTTTTCATTGTATCACGTTTTGGTTTAGTCTGTAAACGCCTAAATATACATAGAGAATAAATTTTTTGATTTTATATTATTTTTAAATTTTATGTGGCGTGATAGCTTAGTGGTTAAAAAAGCCTGGTTGTTGGTCCTGTTTCGCAGTGTAGTGAAACGGTTTGTGTATGTGTTTGTGAATTCCTACCAATCACGTGCATTGTGTTTGATGCGTCGTTTTGCACTTTTTCATATACGCTGTTTGTGTTTTGATGATTCCTCTGAACTTTCGAATAGTGTATTAGATCTTTAACCATTTTATAACAAGACTTTTAAAAATATGAGTCGGCAGACAACCCAAGAGACAAGTTTTTATTGGCTAATTCATAATTGCTTTTTTAATATCTGCAGTTAACGTTGAAAGCAGACTGTTGTTTGCTGTACCACACAATAATTTGTTCTCGTTCATCTTCGAATGAATTCATTATGGCAAGTCCACTGATAAAAGAGTTAGTAACCAAGTTGACAAACCGGTCATTGTTCATCTTATTCCAGGAACAAACTAGTTTCTTAAAACGAGTTTGGTTTAAGATATTTTTCAAAAAACAAACTTGAACCAGAAAATGATCTGATTAAATATCACGTGGAAAACTTTAACATCGATAAAAGAATTCCTTTGACGTCATTATCAAATTTCATTTTCCACTTAACACATGCGTTGACTCAGTTTTACTTATTTACTAAGCTGAAAACATCAATCATATCAAGCAAGAAAACGGTGTGAAGATCACTGAGCTTTTTTTTGTGGATGTTGAAGTCTCCGGCAACAAGTTTGTTATTAAACAATGATGACTCGGGGGCCGAACAATTTTTATCGATTTTCAGTTTTATGGCCATTGCTTCAAAAGCATTGTTGCGTGGTGGTGTCGTCCATTAAACAGAGATTTTGCTACTTGACCCATGCCAGGTTTTCATCACGACCAAAATGTCGGCACTATCGTGATTATTTCATACAAAACGGCATGTTTTGATACAATCGATCTAACATTCAACAATTACTCTTTTGATTCTTTCCAATCATTGATTTTAGAATTTACAATCCTCCATCTTCCTACCAACCTTCTTACTTTAAAAAAACCAGCTAAAAAGAAACTTCTTTCGATTTAACTTCCTCCACCAAATTTGTCAACTCAGTACGCTGTTCACATGTTAATCATAACTAATCCAAATTTTAGATGTTGTAGTTGTTGTGGTGGTTGAATTTGTACATATATATTATGTAGCATATATACTGATGTGATTAATAATAACGACATAAAAGTATGTTTTACTCGCATGAATTTGTTACTAACATATGACCAGATGAAATATTCCGTTGGCTTAGACGATAAAAAGAAGTGTCTTGTCTCTCAGAGAGTATAAAGATAGTGTACATCCTGTGCGTGTAAGGCCGTGGTCGGTCAATTCGTGCGGTTAAGAAAATTTAATAAGTAAAAAAATAAGTAAAAAAAAGCGATATATCTACTAGCATTTTTGCGTTTTTCAGGAATGCGTAATAAAGAACAGAAAAATATTCAAATATTTCATGCAAGACGGGAAACGTATGAATATTATTAAAAAATATAAATAAATTTGACAGTCTCAGGATCTGCAGCCGTACAAACAAACTCATTTCAAGACAAAGAAAACTTGGTTCTAGAAGCAACTTCTTTTATTGCTAACCCGAAAGATAGAATTTTTCTTTTAAGACCAATTGATTTGTTAACAGAAAAAGTCAAAAAGCAATTGTACTCGTCGACTGAACCGCCGATGGGTTAGTTAATTTTGATAATCAATAATTATTTATCCTTAATTGGGTATAACGTACTTTATATACTTTCCTTCACTCGTTCCAACATTTTAAAAACAGCCTGTCGCGGGATAGGAGCGGGACACACACCGCACCTGAGCAAGGTTGCTGTAGAACGGCAGCCTGGCAATCTAACCAGCCAGGCGTCGTGGCATTTTATTTTATTTTATTTTGTGCATGTCAAACAGCGCAATGCAGACTAAGCTCAACAACAACTGCAAGCAATCTTGTTATACCAGAACGAAATAACTTAACAGCAACTTAATAAACTACACAAATTATAAAAGTGCCCGTTGTTTGAGCTGTAGCTGAAATTTGTAATGACCTACATGGCTATCTGAAACGTATAAGGCTGTTACTTTAATATTCTACAATATGACAACAAACTTTAAGTTTTTTTAAATAATAATAATAATAACTAAAATATTAATCATAATTATTGACAATACAAAGCAAATAACTAATTGTTGAAAAACATTGCAATAGATTGTGAGGATGACAAAAAGTCCGACCTGCTACTTACAATTGAGACGTTGAAGCCATCGACACCCTCACACCAACAACAGCAAATTTTCGTCTTTTCTGTACCTCGCAAAAAGTTGGTTTATTAAAAATTAATTAGTCTCACGCTAATCATACTCAGCATATCTGATAGTGGATGATTATGGAGATTTGAATGCAACGTATTTTCGCAGGACAAGTTTGTTGTATTCATTTTTCCTCTACTGGACTCCAAACTTTGAAACAGTAAATATCACCGAACCGTACTTTATGTTGATTCCCGATGACAGAAACAGTGATGATAAAAGTAATGAAGATTCCACAAATGACGACTCAGCAAAATATGTGAATGATACAAAAAACCGGCAAACAAAATGTACTAGCAACAAGTGGAAGGTTAATTTTTACCAGTTTATTGACGCTTTATTCTCGATGCAAACTATTTAAATATTTTAGTAATTTATTATTATTCAAATGTTTTCAAGACTTTCAATGTTAATAGAGATTATTAATAGTCAGTTATTGTACGCAAGGCTGAATTTAAGTTAGGGTAGAAATGATGCATCGTTAAGTGTCTGAGTTATTTTGCCGTTGAATACCTACATTGTTAAATTACTGTGAGATAACGTACAACCTACCTAAAGAAAGGTTGCCAACCTTTCCAGAAATCATTTTTGCCGAGTTGATGCTTAAGGTATAACAAAAAAATGATCAAGTAACTATTTAGGAACCTTCTTTTTCTTCCTTGTTCCAGGGCCTCCGTACTTGTAGTAATAAATTCGGTCCTGACTGCAATCAAACAAAATTCTTAAAAAATCTTTTGAAATGTTATCATACCGCCTAATTATACCATGCCGTTTTAAATCACTTAACAAAGTTTAAAATTGTTTTGAAGATTGTTAATGTTGAGGAAATGAAGCGAGCGATGATGAGGATGGAGATCGACAGACTGCCTCCGCCTGAACTCTCCCACGCCAGTCACATCCTCACTGAGGCACATATCAAACAGGTCAGAATATTTATTTTTCAATCGAACCATCTGTCAGTTGTCTATGGACAACTACTTTGAGGCTCTTGTTAAATCAAGAATTGGAGTTTTCATGTTGATCATGTTTAGAACATCCGAAAATTGATGATAATGAAATTTAAATGCGATTTTCATTCTAAATTTTTCCTTCATCATCCATTATCTGATAAACGTGAAAACTACTTTTTTATTACTACTCTAAATTTTGTATTATTTTTTTTAAAAAGTAAATGCTATTTGACCAATCAAATTTAAAAAGTATATTTTTCTTTCAAGTTTAATAAAAAATTAGAGTTTTCAAAGTTGTTTTATTTTATTCATCTTAGTTTTGTATTTTGTTTAAATACCAGACCAAATTGATTAAAATATTAACAATATAATAATAATATCAAATTTGTCAGAAAAAGGTAGAATGTTTTTTTAAAAATCAAGCCAATAAATTATCAATTAGTCAATTATCCAATCAATTAATCGGGAAATTTTTTATCAACAAATTCGTCATACAAGACTCTTGTGCAATTGTTGTCATACATTGTTTGTATTTTCACTTTAGTAATTTTTAGTCGAAATAATTTCTGTTAATTACGAATTGTTATAATATTGAATTGATGAACCTTTTTGAAACTTTGTAGAATTTCATCTCAGTATTATTTCTACAATTTTTGTTCGAAGTTCTACTTTTAATTAATTGTTAAATGTTTTGGAATGGGAAATGTTTTTAAAATATTTTAAAAACGTGATGATGAACTTTTTCACAATCTTTTTTATTATTTTTATTTTATATAATTTATTTATTTTTGGTAGAAGTAGCTTCTGTCAATTACGATATTTTAAGATTGAAATGATGAACAATATTCTTAACAGAATTTTTCTGCAATCAATTCACGGTCTTTTTAGGCACCGCTATAAGTATGATGACAAGACTATAAAGATTAAATATTTAAACTTTTTTATGTTTAATATTTTCAAAGTTTTCCCCTCTCTTTCTTTTCTGTTATGAATTTATTATAATGCATGACGAAAATTTTTGGTTAATTGGGCTCACATTTGAATCTGTTTTATATTTTCTAATAATAATGTTTTTTTAATATTAAAAAAACCAAAATACTAGTTGAATATGTCAGAAAAAATTAACTAAATTAAATTAGTTTACTTACTGGTTCATTTTCAAACGCTGAGTCGCGATTTTTCACTAGCGTATTTTTTTGCAATAAATGAATTTTTATTTCCAGCTGACGTTCAACCTGCCTGCTCGCGCCGAAGGTTGTGTGTGGCATTTGGCTTACAGCACTGAAAGGCATGGATTCAGTATTCGAACTCTCTTCCGCAAGATGGAAAAAGTTGAGGGTCCAGTGTTGCTGATCGTGAAAGACGATCATGATGTGGTGAGAGAGGGTTGATGTTATACAAATTTATTAAAATTTCTTTGGTCGTTTTTTATTTTTAACTTGAGAGCTTTTGTTAATTATCGTTGAATTATGTTAATTTTCATGTCATTGTCATCATTTTCAGTGATATATGTTATCTTCGTACCAATATTTTCATTTTTTTTATTTATTTTCATTTTTTTAATTTTATTTCATTTCATTTATTTTCAATAAGTTCATTTAAAATTAGGCTAAATTGTTTAATGGTGATTTAAAGTTTCACAATTTTTTCAACTAATTATAAGATGATGACACCTAAAATCTTAACTAGAAAACGCATTACTATAGAAAAAATTGATCCGCTTTTTTGTAGCACTTTAAAAATACCAAAGCATTAGCATTGATATCGACAATAGTACATTTTAAAATCGGTACAGTTGTTGGCATTGGCGATGATGATATAATTTTTATTATTGTTAACAACCCTGACCAGTGTTTAGTTTCTATTCCACGGAATTACAACTAGGTCATCTCGCAGTCACAACCTCGTAACGTAGGATGTAATTTCCTTACTGTCTGAGATAACTCGACAACCACAAGCATAATTCTTCATTTTTTTGTGGCATTTGGATTCATAAGGAAATAAACGCAAAACAAAATTTGATGTTGGGAGATGGTTTGATGATTTTTTGTGACAGGAGACAGAAGTACAAATCAACTTAATAAAAACATGTACCTAAACGAAGAAACCGTAAATACATGAAATTATCTTTAGTTTTGTTGAGATTCCAAATCACTTCGCTAATTAGCAGAATACCAAGATCAAATTATTTAATAAAAAACCGTTTTTAATCAGTAACCATAGAGAAAAATAGAAAAACTTGAAAATTTTGAAAGGCCAAAATTATCATTATTCATTATTCGTCTTCACTATTCACTTGTTGAAACTTAGCCTACACAATAGTACTGATTCTATATTTATAATTCCATTTCTATCGTTCCAGATATTTGGCGCCATGTTGTCGCAAACATTAAAACCAAGCGAAGTCTTCTACGGCAGTGGTGAATGTTACCTATTTACATTTAGGACACAATTTTTGGTTTGTTATATTTGTAAACATTCTCTATTTTTATTTTTAAAAAATTGCCTTTAATATTACTCAGATTGTATTAAATGTTTATTTAAAATGTAGATGTAACTGAAATGACAAATTATTCGTTTGAATTCTTTTTAATGTTTACTATACATTTCTAAAATTATTTAACTACAATAAATTAGGCTTGAAAACCTTTATAATATCTAAGTAGAAAATAGTCAGATCTGGCATTTATTTGTATAATATTAGATCTATCGGTTGTTCTAGATGATTCTTTAAACGGGTATATTGGATAAATCAGCGAAGCAACAAGCAATGAAATTCAAATGTAAAAATTTGAAACTTTATAATTTTTCTTTTATTCGAAAACATTTAAATGTTTCGTAATAATACATGAATTTGTAGTGGTACGTAAGCCTACAGTTTCTTAGTAAGATTCTTTACAACTTTATAAACGCGAGTTGACTCACGTATTCTTCAAAATATTTTTCTGGTGAAACCGCTTTTTTCAAATCTACAATGTTGAAGGTTTTTTAATTCCTCATTCAACCGTTTCCCATTTATTATTTTAGTCTCGAGTTTTAGTGAATTTGGATTAAATATTATACATGTTTCATTTTTGATGTATGTATAAATTGATGCATTCACTTTTTTAACCGAAAATCGATTGACCACATTTTACGTTTGTCCATATTCGGTTTAAATCTCTACCCAATCTTGAAACAATCAGCCACTTTCCGATATAGGTTCACTTCTAAATGGTAGTCATCGCGAACAAAAAGCCATAAAAATTTTGTATGTAGTGGCCGTACTAGCTATGATTATCCAGCTCTTCAAGTTGAACCATGTTGAACTGAATATATTATATGTATATTATTATATTTTATAGTTAATATGGTGATCAAAAAATAAATATATTCACAGAAATATTCGTGGACCGGTTCAAACAACTTTTTTATCTATGGTGGGAACAATTGCATCTCAATTGGCTCTGGAGAGTTAGTAAAATTATAATTTTTAGTATTAAAAATACATGCAACTATTTTTAAAACAAGAAAGAAGACAAATTTTCGTCAACAAAACAAAAAAATGTAATGTAGAAAAAAATGAAATGAATTAATTGATATGTTCACTGTGATGAGAAGATTTTAAGTTATTAGTTTCCTATATAAAATTATTTGTTATTGATAAAAGTATTAAGAGTTTAGTGATGACAAATAACTTGATTTTAAGTTTTTATCACGAGAAAGTAGCAAATAAAAATTTGTTGTATGAAATTAGATGCTATCAATTCTCATGTTTTCATTAGTCATAGAATGTTAGTAGGCTACTTTGTATTAACTTGGAAAGAACAATGTTGACGTCAGGCGTATATTACAATTTGTACCTCTATATATTATAATTCTGCAGAGTATATTATGATTTGTGCAGGATATCACTATCAAATTTTTCTTTTATGTTTTTATTTTATTAATAATGAAATTGTTATGCTATAGTGGAGCGCATGGATTGTGGTTTGATGAAGATTTATTCCGCGGAAGAACCCAAAGATGTCTGACTTTCAACAATGATCTGTTAACCGAAGCAGAAGATTTTGTGGTCAAGTATCTTGAAACTTGGAGATTTATTTGAAACTTTTAGACAATTATCTTTTTTAGAAGTTTATACTGAAAACATTATCATATAATTCATAATCAGAAATACATTTGTTTCATTGTATACTTATTTGGCTAGAGTTATTTTTGCGTAATAGTATGTTTATATTTCATAGATTCAACAAAAGATGTTTATCAATGGCAATAAATTGTTTTTATCAAAAATTTTAGAAACAAAATTTGTTAGTTTTTTGTTTAAAGTGAATACTTAACGATCATTTAATTAGTTATTACGATCTTCAGCTTCGTCCAATATAACACTTTTACGTGTCATCATTATCGATGATTCCTCTGTTTCTAAATTTATTAGTGGTAGTGCTTATTCTAAGGTTTTTTACCACTTGCCCAAAACCACAGGCGTTTTGCAACATAAATGATTTTCACGTCCCAAAAACTACGTTAATTTTTTTAATCGCCGATTATTATTATTGACGGGGTTTGTAAGTCTGTGTAAGAACCACTAAAATATTTCTTAGCTAAATTACAACGTTATTTTCTTAATCGATTATATTTTATAACTTGCAACTGCCAATTTATGCGATCCGAAATTTGACAACGCCTACTTATAGGCTGGTAATCAGATGTTTCTTCAGTGCGCTGTGGCTATGGCACGTCGTCTCTGCTCAAAACTTCAATTTATTTACTTATTTATTACTTATGTTTCCATAACGTAAATCAGACGTTTGACGTATACTGTATCAAATCAATCATTTTATCAACTATTATTAACGTTCAGTCGTACGGTTTTACTTCGTAAGTTCTTCATATAGTTCGTATTTTAATTCGAATGTTCCTTCCTTCGTACTTTAGTTTTAGTGCTTAACTGGCATTTATTCATTGATATTGGCCGTTACCTTTAGTTCAAGCTGTTCAGTTTAGTAGTTTGAAATTTATATCATTTTACAATTTAACTTCAGCGTTCAGTTTTCAATATCTATTCTACTACAGTACATTATTTTGTGTACGTTAGGGCCTAAAGGTAATGATGAAGAAGAGCAGAGTTACTAGTCAACCGTGCCAAAGTAAACGGAATTTGAAAAGGCTGAAATTGTGACACCCATATCATCTTCGATAGCCTCATCTTCATCTAAGTGTGATTCCGTAGCCACTGCCTCTCAACATGATCCTGCTGAAGACGTTGAACAGTATGTGATGGGCTCATCATCAGCCTCACCTGGTGTACTTCCAGACGTTAAATCGGATGACAATGAAGAAAGTACCCTGCAGTCAAACATGAATGTCAACGAACTTGACGAAGTAGAAATTGACAGTGCTGGTATCTGTAAGTCAGTTCCAATGGCCCGTTTGTCAGAAGGAGCAATAACTGGATATTATTTCTTTAAAATAACCAAGCAACAAAAATTCAGCTCTGATGAAACAATTCAGATATTTCGTCGGAATGTCCAAAATTTTGCAATGTGTACTGGTTGTGTTAAATTTTCGGAAACAGTTCGAATGTATTCAAAGAAGGTTTAAATACCACCGATTGCAAGGCTGAGTAGAACTTGGTATCGCGGTGAAGTAGTAGAAAGCCATTGTAGGCAGTTATATCACAGGAACTATGTGAAGGCATTGCGACTATCAAACGACTATTGCGACTACCAGTTGAGATTCGTAAAACTTTTGCTATAGGAAAATTTGTAACAAAGTCAAATGAAAAGCTGGCAAACAAGATTAGTAGTATTAGTAGTCTAACGATTCACACATACGGCGACGCCAAAAAACTTACTTTAAGTGCTTATACTTCTCCGGCTAAGATTGTTGTCGCCAAGGTTGCCACAGCCTTCTCATTTAATACTACCAACTGTAGTGTTGAAGCAGATAATTCAGTTACTAGTTTGAGCAAACTCACAGATCATAAAGATTTTTAATATTTAACCCCAACTACCCACAAGGAATTTCTAGAATGCACAGTAGAAATTGACAGAAAAAGACTGTTTGAAAAATTGACAACAATTACATTGCCGCTTTCCATTCGGTGCGACGGATCAGTCGATCGCACACAGATCGTCAAAATCTACGTAATGGCAAAAAGATAAACGAGATCAGGGTTTGTTTTAAGAACAATACTTTCTTGGAGTTAGTGAGCCAACCAATCGCGGAGCACAAGGTGTACTGGATGCAGTGGAATCAGCATGCAGCAGAACAATTGGGGACGCAGCATTGAAATATATTTTCAAACACGCTTCATCTGTGGTTACTGATGGTGCCGCAGATAAACATTGATAATAAAGAAGGATTTTGGAAATTGTTTTAGGAAAAAAAAAGGAAGAATTTGTTGATGACAAAGTCCCACTGCCTAAAGTGTGGTATGGTGTTCATAGATTAAATCTAGCATGGAAGTCTACAAGTAGCTGCGTTAGTGAAGTTGAACAAACATTTCAGAAATTAGTAGGCCTGAGCACTTGTTCACTCTTCTGCACTTCGCACTAGAGAGTTGAAAGATATTGCGGAAAACAATAACTGTTGCTCAAGTCACTGCAAAAACTCTTTGAGGTTTGCTGGGCGCAGTTCAATTCCAACATGTTAAATGCAGTCTTGACCTCATGGCATTGCCTGGTTATCTTCTTCAAAACTTGCAAAGACAAAAAAAAAACGGTTATCTCGCATTCCTGTTGGATAACAACAATCTTAAATTTATCGCCTTTATATCGAACACACTTGCCTTTTTCGGCAGGTATCAAAAACAGCTTCAATCAGAGCAGGATCATCTTCGTTACGAGCAAGCTAATCATGCAGGTAAGGACCAAATTGCGTGACTTGAAAGATAACTGTTTACTTGAAAGTTGATTTGAGGCAATGAACAATCAGATAATTACACTTGAAAATGGTTCGCTCACAATGAAAGCATAGAGATAAACAAGCCGCGTAATATGAGGCGTAAGACACACCATGTGTATGTGACGGATCGTGCAGTGTGCAATGGGGTAGTTAAATTACTAGTTGAGTTTCTTAATCAACGCTTTGCATTGGATGAAGAAACAGTGCGCATTGCTATACCATTTGCAGCCCTGACGGCTAGGACAGCCATCGAACTTAAAGATGAACATAAACTGCTCGGATGCAACCGATCTGTGGAAAACATTGATAGTCTTCGTAAAATGTCATTGCCGGAACAGGTGCGCTTTCTTGCATCACCAAATTTGTACATTGATGTGGCAACAATATTGGCTCGAATTTTGGCTGTTAAACCGCACAGCGCTGACGTTGAGAGGCTGATCAGCACTAGTACAACACTGATGTCAATAAAGAGGTCCAGTTTATCAGTCACCACAGAGAACGAGTTCTTATATTTATACCATAACATGCCGTCTTTAGTCGATTGGGACCCCCGACTTGCTATACTGCTGTGGTTAAAACGTACAGCTTTTTGAAACCTATCCACACTGTTTCGTTGATGAAACATTCAAAGTTGCACTTCAGCTATTTTTGCAAGCGTTTACAGTGCATTCAGTTATTGATCACAGTGCTGTACCATTTATTTATGAACTCCTTCAGTCAAAACAAGAAGAAGGATAGGTTAGAGTTTTTAGAAAAATTCTTGAGTTAAAACCAACTTTTGCTCCACAAAGTGTTACGATGGATCTTGTTAAGGCTGGTCAAAATGCAATAAGCACAATATTTCCAACCTGCAAACTATTCGGTTGTTTATTCCACTTTGGAAAATACCTCTGGCGTAAAGTGCGAGAAGAAAATCTTACTACTGCATATAGAGAAGATAAAAACGTAGTTATTGTAAAAATGCTACTAGCTCTTTCATTTGCTCCACCTGAGGATGCCATCACTGAGATCATTTAAGTGAAGCTTGCCCCAATGTTGTTGAAAAGTGTACTAATACTTGGAAGATAATTATATTGTCTTCGAATTTGGAGTTTCATTCATAAAAATGGTTTTCGTTGTGGCTTAAATTTTTAATTCTGAATAATAATTTGTTTTATTATTTCAGTTGAATATATTTATATGTGAGTTTATTTAAGTGAGTAATAATAATTTTTTACGCGTATTATGTTATCTTTTATTTATTCTTTATTGGTGTAACTAATGTTTCTTCTTTATCATCTGTAATGTTTTATTCATGTTAAAATATTTATGAACTCTACTGATCTACATACATTTACGACCAACTAACACAAGCTAACATAATTGAGTCATCAAATTACAACAATTTCTAACAACTAACATGTTTATACTGAACTAGCTCAGAAAAATGAACGGTTATTTCAATTTTTATAACATTGACAGGTGACTGCTAGATGAGTTTCTTATGAACTTACCACATTCATCCTGCTTTCTCAAATTTATGTCTTTAAATTTTCAGAGGCAAATAATCGTTTATTAGTAAATATTTCAACAACTATGTGATTATTTGTAAACATTCCCACAACTATGTAATTATCTGTAAATATTCCAACAAATATATGACTATTTGGCCAAAATAAAAGGGAATAAACTGAAGTGGCAAGCACCATTTACGTTATATTTAAGAATCCTGATCAAGTGGGTTCATCTGAATGCACGTAGTTTTCGTTTCAGTGAAAAAGTTCAAACTTTGCACTACACCCTCCTTGCCCACACCAGAATTTTTCACCCCTCCAAACGGGACATGTAAGTCCCTAACCATCCAACAATTCGCCCAAACGGTTCCAACCTGAAAACAAATATTATGTTAAAAATATTTGAATATTGTTTTGCAGTTTTGTTACTTCAATCGTATTATGAGTCTTCTATAAAATTTCTTCAAATTTTCTTAAAAATTTTAAAATATTTGATAAATCTTTTTCAAGACAGCATTTCAATAATGAAACAAAGTTATCAATTTTGAGAATGTTTAATGTTTAAAAGGACCTAAGATGAAGAAAACATAAAAAACATTTTAGAATAAGAAAAATAATGTTGGAGCTTGATTGTCATAAGTGAGAACACGAGAAGAATTCTTTGCCTCCAATCTCTGACCGGGTTTAACACAACATAGCAAAGATTTTTATTGTGATCAAAGAAGACTGAGTTTGTGACAGGATCTCTCTGAGAATTTTAATGCAAAGTTTGAATGCAAAGTGATCCTCGCATGTTGCACGCTTCAGTGTCTAATGAATTTACTGAGGAATAAGCAACAATAGATATATACAAGTCTGTTTAACAAATTGACAATAATAATAATAAAATAAAAGCTATATGTTTTCACAAAATTTATAAGAAAATTGAAATCTTGCAAGACGACTTCGAAAACAAAATTAGTTAAATTGGAAAAAAGTTGAAACAGAATGAAGTGAAGAGAAGCATGACGAAAGAATAAAAGATTTAAAAAATTGTTAAAATTATTAATCATACGATGTTATTAAGTTAAAACAATGACCAGAGAGTAAAATGATTTGAAAAAATCTTCCAATACTTGTAATTGTCTAGCGATCCGGTGAACTTTGTGAATATTTTCACTCCATAATGTTGCACACAAACCATATGAACTGTTGTTGGCTCGTTTTATAACCTAAAAGTTTAATTTGTATACTGAACCAAAAAATAAAAGGAACGATTCAGCAGAATTGTAAAAACAATTTTCATAGAATGTTTTTAAAATTTAATTAATCAACAACATTCAATTTTAAATCACACAAATATTCGCAAAAGCAGTTGTAAAGTCTAAAAATAAAATCATAGTTGCCACGAAAAGTAGTTATAGTATATAGTATTTTATGGCAACATATTCATAACCTCCAATTCATCATCAAAAGAAGTCACGCAAACGACGGGCCCGAATATTTCTTCTTGCATAAGTTGACTGTCGTCCTTCATGCCTGTCAAAATGTGAGGCCTCACGAAGTATCCCTTCGAACAAATTAAGTCATCTTCTCTTACTCAGTCATTGAATTGTTTTTATTGTTAACCAAAAAATAATTATTCAAAATAGAAAATAGATTGTTGAAAAATTATAATCATAGTTAATACATAACGTGACAACAAGTTTTATTTTACATTAATATGGCTGCCAGGAAGAGTTAGTTGTTCATCACCACACAAAACTGAAATTTTTTCTTTTCGGGCTAATTGGACGTAATCAGTTACCTTCTGGTAATGTTCTTTGCTAACCAAGGCGCCCATAAAATTTGAATCATCGTTGGGATCTCCTACTTTAATTTTTCTACGCAGAAATATTTTAGCTATTTGTTTCATTATCATTGGTTATGATTGAAATGTTTCTAAAGGGCAGTTCGTTGCAATTTTTGTGATTCAAATTTGAATTTAATATAAAGATAACTATAAGTAAATTTATGTAGAGTTAAATTTAAAACATTTTCCGACTGAAACCCTTATTAAATATATTTAATGCGTACTTGGTTTCTTCAACAAATCTCTTTACAAATGTTTCATATATTCCCGACTGAACAAATATTCTACTGATACAAAGGCATATTTCTCCTTGATTTAAGAAACATGACCTAAAATTAGTAGATTAACGCAAACTTCATTTGTTGTGTTATCAAAATTAAATTTAGTTGAAAATACTTAGTACAAATAAAAACAATAACACTTTTAATAACACAAAGCTTAACTGTTATAACTAATAGCTACGTAGTACCTCAGCATTGTCATCAAACATTTTTCCAAATTACAATCTTCAAAAACAATGGCTGCATTTTTGCCACCAAGCTAAATGTTGATAGAAATGTTCATAGATTATGGTATTATTCCAAATGATAACATTATGCTATGTATGAGCTGGCACTGTGTACAGATGTACGTGTGTGAATGAGTGTATGTATGTATGTATGTATGTATGTATGTATCAAATCAAATCAAATCAAATCACTTTTATTCAATCAAACAAAACAAAAGCATGAATGATTCGGAGACCAAAAAAAGAAAATTAATTCTTGTGGGCTCGGCCACCGTGCAGCTCAAAATTGCTTCTCAATGATAAAATAAAATTGTCAATAGGAGAAAATGTATCAATGTTAATGAAATATGTACACACTTATATACATATATATACATATACATTATTATCCTTGAAAAACAGAACTTTTCGTAATTAAAAAATTTTTCAGTTTATTTTTAAAAAGATGCAAAGTGTTACAATCTTTAATTTCTTGTGGAATCGTCTCCCATATTCCTGGGCCGGTATGTTTCAAACTCATGCAGAGTACTTTAATTCTGGCTGGTGGAGCATAGAAAAGTGGCGTGTGGCGTGTAGTTCTTGCTTGAATGGAAGTTCCAAAAGTGAAAAAGTTTCTAAAAAATGCCGGCAATTGCTGACGTAGAAATCTAAAAATGAATGTTGCAACGTGGTAGATGAACAAGTTTTTGATGTTGAGTATTTTCATCTCGAGATAATATTCACTTGTGTGACAATGAGGATGAAGATTTTTAAATATTCTGATGAATCGGTTTTGGTATTTTGTTAACTGTTTTAGATGAATGTCAGGACTGTTTCCCCAAATTACGTTGCAGTAGATGAGGTGAGGAAAGATTAACGAATAATACAGGTCAATTAGAGTAGGTTTATTTAATTTATTTTTAATTTTGCTTATAACTCCTAGGGTTTTGCATATTCTTTTAGACATAGTATCTATGTGAATATCCCAAGAAAGATTGTCCTTGATTGTTACTCCAAGGAATTTTGTGCTGGTTGAGCGAGGAATAGAAATATTGTTCATTTTTATGTCTAGGTTAGGTATAATATTTGTTAAAATTTTCGGACCAAAAATAATGTAATTACATTTAGAATAATTTACTATTAATTTATTTTTGATAAACCAGGTTGATATATTTTGAAGACTGTTATTGATGTATTCTACTTCTTTCAATGAGTCTTTAGTTGGGAAGAAGATGTTAGTGTCATCTGCATATAGAAGGTGATTTGCATCAGTTGCATGTTGAAAATCGTTCATGAAGATTATGAATAGAAGAGGACCTAAAATTGATCCTTGTGGCACGCCTGATCTTACGTTAAGTTTTGTTGAGGAGTGACTTTTTATTGCCACATACTGGTCTCTGTTCTCTAAATAACTTTTGAACCATGCACTTACTTTTCCTCTTATTCCATGTGAATTTAATTTTTTAATCAGTATATCGTGGTTGATGACGTCAAAGGCCTTTGAGAGGTCTATGAATACACCTACAGTCAGTATCTTTTCGT